CTACAGTCTTTACATAATGGCACCCAGCCTCGCCTACTACCATTGGCGGCCATATCAGGAACCATACATTACGAGGGCCCTCTCCCTAGCACAACAGACAGATCTACCATTATCGAAAGTTTATCGTCAAATGAACTCTTCATCAGACGCCACAAGTCTACACTCGCTTATACACCTAAACATCATCTTTACAGCGATGCCCAGTCCACTGGTGGGCATTAATGCCTGCTTTCAAGAGGAGATCTACACCAGATGAAAAGACTGGGTGCTTATAGGTGCAGATGCTTCAAAAACACCAACTAAAACAACTGCCAGATGGTCATTCCGTCTCAGTGACTCACAGAGACATGGCAAATTGACGACAGCTGTAGTGCCTTTGGTTCAGAGGCCCTAGACATTCAGAGGGCCCTTCTTTGCCAACCCTCACATCGACCGACAGTTATCCTTTGGACCACTGGTCTGTTCTCCAAGCAGTGGCGAGGTCACTTACTCGTCATAGCCAATTATCATAGACCTGGCAGAGACGATTGCATCCTCCTCCATCCCTCTCTGGGATTCCCGTGGCTTGGGGTCCATGAGGAAATCCCATAAAACGAAGAGGCTGTCAAGGCCACACACTCAGGCACCCCAATCAGAACAATATGGTGCCCACTATAGCCGGGCAATATTACAAGGAACATCCGAAGTTCAACGATTCGGAACCTCACAGATGCATGGACACCAACCCTGCAAAGGAAAGGGTATGACCACCTTCGCCTTCTGACATTGTAAGGAACCAAGTCCAAGCATTATTTTAAGTTATTTTTTAGTTTGCTTTTTATTCTATTTTTGTTTGGGACTTATGTTTTGTTGTGACAAAGGTTTCCTCACCACTCACCTTAGAAACTTAAAAATAGAAGAGAGAACCAATTCACTGACGAAAAAAAGTGCCATAGAAAAACTCACGCACACTTGCACTCCCGAGCGGGAAAAAGTAAGTCCGCACTGAGAAAGAGGGGGGAGACGCCACAATCACAACTTAGGAACTTGCTAAACCTTAAAGAATAAAACATTCCAACAGATTATCGAAAAGAATAATATAAAAGGTTAGCGAGTATTGTCAGGAAATAGGCTGCCAGGCAGAAAGGAAAAGTTTACTGTTAGCGATAAGTATGTAAATAAGGGGAGTGATCTCAATCAGAATTGTGACGTCACCCTGTAGTATAAAGTCTGAACCTCAAGTGAAGATGACCGAGGTGAGCTTCTGTGAGCGAGTGTGGTGAGCTTCGTAGCAGCAAATGACAAGAGGTGTCCGATAGCAATAAAGTGGTTCCAAGGCGATTTGAAGTTATTCGATTTGTGGATCGAAGATTAGAAAGTCTTGAGAGTTGAGGAAAAGGTTCCTAGTATATTGAGGGGACGATTAGGACCTTAGTTCATAAGAATTGTTGTACTGTACATAAGTTAAGTCTTTGAATTTTTTTGTCAAATTCCAAAGGGGAATAGATTTAAGTTAGCAAATAGATTGATTTGAGTTTTGTCAGGTTGATTCTTATTGATTTTTCTTTGAATAAATTTGTTGTTTGATTGTTACTAATTTTTATAAATAGTCATTATTAGAATTATTAAATATTGGATTGGTTTTGACTAACTTTCTCATTATTTCTTTTGATGCATGCTTAAAGTCCAGGCCTGTCACATTAATGCGAATCCGCGTAAAGTACCCGTTAGGTAATGGCTAATTCCAGCACACAGTCGTGTCGTTAATCATTGTAAAAGGCGTAAAACAAAAAAATGAGTTAGTACTTTACAATATGGAAATGCTACTAGCCCGCCTCTGAATGGACGTGGCCCTGCTGAGTGCTTTCTATACTCCTGTTATCTTTGTGACTCGCTAGTGTGTCCTAATTGCAGTGCAGAAGAAACTCCCCATCATTTTTTGCTCCAATACCCAAGCTACAAAGGACCTAGACATACCCTCGGCAAAACCTTATCCATCAATCCCAACCTCACCTGTACTTTAACCCCGATCTACTGGCCGATGGCCGATATACCAGCAAAACAACATATTGCAGCACTGGAAGAGTATATATGACAAACGGGCTGCTTTAACTAACCACTAGGCAGCAACACTTTGGAGAAAATAGCCTAGATAGCTGAAATCTTTAGATGAACCCAACAGAAAGAAAGAAAGATGGTATACAAGTAACCCCCGTATAACACGGGAGTTACGTTCCAAAAAATTGCCTTGTTATACGAAACAAAGAACTAGTGTGAAAAGGGGAGTTAGGTTCCAAAAATTAAAAAACATGCTGTTAAATCCTTCTTTAAATCGGAATTATTATCCATTTTTTTATGGGTAAAATACTTATTTATTATTTAACTAATTATTTTACCAGAGGATTATTCATTCTATATGATGATCTCAGCATGGGCATCATCAACTGGAAACAGTTTTTGGGTGCATTCGTTAATAGCGGTTGCTCTTTGTCTCCACTACAAGGGAAGTGTGCTGCTGTTTGTAGGCATTTAAGAATGACGGTGAAAGAAAGAAAGATAGCGGCGCCCACACTATTGATAGTATCGTGATAGAATCTATAATTCTAAAATATGAGCTTTTAGAGACAAAAGAAGGGTCCCAATTGTAAAATTTAACTATTAAATGGATTATTTATTGAAAGAGCATTCAAAGTAGCCACGAAAAAATTAGAATACTCGCGCAGAGGTATAAAAGAACGCACCCTTTGTTACATTTCATGTTGTACAAGGGTTTTACCCAATTCCCGAACTGTGTTAGAGTGAACCCGTACTATAAAAGCACTGTGTTATACAGGGATGTTCCCAATTCTCAAACTGTGTTAGAATGAATCTGTGCTATAGAAGTGCTGTGTAATATGGGGGTTACCTGTATTTACACAATATAAAAAATACTGAAGATACAAAAACAGATAGGGTAGAAGTGAAGACATTTTTGTATCTTTTTTATATGTTGTTTATAATTTTTGATAAATATATAAAAGTTATACAAATATTTGAAATTTTGAATATGTGAAATTATAACAATCACATAATATTTTTCAATACTTATTTATTTTTTAAATTTCTGATATTCAGTTTTAAATCACTAGAGTGTTTTATTTTTTCTGTTTTTTGAATTAGAAAAACACAGGTTAAAAATATTATAGTGGAACCTGGTTAATTTGAAATGCTCAGAGTCAAAATATTGTATCTTTGAGTTAAAAAGTTTCAGGTTACCAAGGTATTTCTTCCCTAAAGAAGTCATGAGTTCCTACTGTCATCTTTGCCTGCAGAATTCAATATTTGGTATATAAATGCAGTTAGTAGGTCTGCAAACATATTTCCTTTTGCATTTGCATCATATTCTATGACACTTTTGATTTTATTTCAGTTTTTTAATTACATGGCTGCAAAAGACCCTCTGAAGTCTTTGACTATCTTCCCTTTGGCTTTTTTTCCCTTCTCTACTTCTTGAATTGTTTTCATTTAAAGCAGCTGATTTACCATCTTCTACTTAGTGATTATTTTGTCCTCATATATCATGAAATCCACCACTTTGATGCTGGACATTTTCCACAATCCAACTGATCCAGCTGCCATTGGCCAGTTGAGATGAATGGCATTGACACGTTTATTGGTAAATAAACACTTCATCAGTGTCATTTGATTTTACTGTCATGTGCATGATCTCACAGTGTAGAATATACATGGATATACTGGTAAATATATGTAAAAAAAAATTACAGGAGAAATTTTCAGTTTGATTTAAAATATACCCCAATTTTGTATTAACCAAGTCAAAACAACATGTAAATTCCTATATTAAAGTAGTGGAGAAAGTTTTTATGTTTGAGTAAAAGTGAATTCATTTAACTGCCATATTTTATGATATGTAAAATGCAACTTTTATTTATTTATTTATTTTTTTAAACTGGCTCAAAAAATTTTTCTTTATCTTATATGTGAAGGTGCAATCTCCTGTAGACTAATGAATTTACCAAATGACCTTTAGTAGACTACAGGTAACTTCTACCTAGTCCAACTATTGATTAAAAATACAGTAGAGCGTTGTTTACCTAAAAGCCGATCAACCGAAAGCATTCCAGTCGGACTGTGTCGTGCTGAATCAAACGTTTTTGATACTAGATTAACTTCCACAATATAATTTTTTTGTTTTTATATTTTTCAATATATTTATTTTGTTTGTACAAAATAAAGAAATAATTTTTAATGATGCAATAGTCATGATTATTATTTTAAAAAATTTACATTAAGCTTAACATCAACAAAAATTCAACGCAAAGGGACATGCAACGGAGAAAAATTTCAACATGGGATAGGTTAATATATTTTTTTGTACATAGTAGGTTATCTGAAAAATAAGTTATCCGAACAACCCTAATCCCTAAAATAACCCTAAAATACCCTAATCCCTAACAACCCTAAAATATTCTATATGAAAACATGTAAAAGCAGCTTAGCTGTAACAAAAGCATTTAATTATATGTTTAATTAAATAATACAGTAGAGCGTCATTTATCCGAATCAATTGATCCCCAATTGATTCGGATAAATGACGCTCTACTGTATTATTTAATTAAACATATTATAATTAAATGCTTTTGTTACAGCTAAGCTGCTTTTACATGTTTTCATATAGAATATTTTAATGGTAAATGACTTTTTTAAACTCCAGTTTTTCTCTGGTAAATAAAAGTGCATTCTAATTTTATTATTATTTTTTTTTACCAAAATACTTAGAAAAAAAATGTTAGAAAAAAATTTTCATTAAGTGCTAAAAGCACAGAGTGGCATAAACACAATAAATACGTTTTTTGAATATTTGTGCTTGAGGTGCATATTGTATGGTTGTGTATCTTTATATTCTATAAAATATGGTATGTTCAAGTTAACCAGGTTTCACTGTATTTAAATAATACTTACAATGAAACCTTTTTTCATATATTGAAAAATAATTTAATTAAATGTATATTAAATTACAGATTATTTTTCACATTCCACTGAAAGAAGATTAGGGAAGAAGATTTGTCAACATCATCGATGAACTGAAAATTTTATATTTATAAAATGCAATATTAATACGGTTGTGAATATTTTATTCCTTTAAATAATTTTTAAGAAATGCCTACTATAACAACAGTTCCACAGAGAGAGACTAGTATTCCAGTTCTTTCTTCACCTAAAGATGGATATAAGCCTTTATCTCATAATCATTATGATTTCTGTATTGAAGATTCTAGGCAAATAGAGTATGCACAACAGGAAACAGATTCAAAATCTAGTTTCACAACATTTGTACATTTTTTACATAATTGTGTTATTGCTGTTTTACAACCTTTATGTTTCAGAACTGCTGATAGTGTCGATGGAGATAAATTTTTTATTGCAGAGTATCATAAATCAGAATGTTGGGAAAAAAATGCTCATGAACCAAGGGAAGAATTTGAGGAAACCCATCTACTTTGTGATGATCAGTTATGGGAACAGTCTACCTATTGTTCTGATAAAATATTTTATAATTTACCTTGTGAGTCACCTATACCAAAGAAACGATTAGCTAACGAAACTTCAGTTGCTCAATTGGTAAGTTTTTCTTATCTGTTATTATTTACTAGGCTGGCCATACATACCATTTTTTTTTTTTTTTGCTATCCCATTGTTTTAGTAAAATTTTCATATTTGTCTGTTTTTTTGAAAACCAAAAATCTTAGCTCTCTAGCTTGTATATTAAACATATTATTTTGTATTTTGATGTCAAGATTTGTTAGAAAATGTTTATTTTGCTTTGAATAGATACTAGTGAGGAAGAAATATGAAATATGGCTTACAGAATAGTTTCAACAAATTTAAGGAATATATTACACAAACAGAAACAGATGAAATTTGATCAATAAAGCTAATAAAGACAATAATAGCCTAACACTTAAAAAATTGAATGAAGAAAAAACATTAATATAGCTAACAGATGGTTCAAAATATTTACTGAAATACATGATCTTGAATTTCAAGATACTTATAATTTGATAAAATTAATCTTTTGTTTTTTCAGGAACTATATCTTCTGTAGAAAGAATATTTTTACTACAAACAACTGTGTGTTAATTTTTTGTCTGAAATATTTTTACTTGTGAATTTGTTTGGAAACTGAAATATTGTGTTATTAAAAATGACATTGGCACTGATACCAAAATTGTATATAATGAAAATTCTTGATACCACTATTATAGCTTTTTGTGTCTGAACAATTAATTGACATCCCTGATATCATGACTTTTCATAGTGAAATAATTATGAATGTAAAACATAGTCATTGAATGATGATTTCATATTTCTATGTAATACATGTCTGTAATCCAACAAATGGTAGACGGACTCACAGCAAATTTTCAGTTAGGAACTACAATTTTATTCGCAAAATTGACAAATGCATTTCAGATTGGCGCAGTACATCCCAGTCCCTCCTCAGTGTCTTAAAGATAAAAAAAAAATTGTGCATGGGACACCAACACGACTATAATACCAACACATGTTATATACATCAATACATTGTAGAGGTATTGTACAAGCTCAAAGAGCACTTGAAGTGTTTAATATCACCAGATAACCTCATCATGTTAAAATATATAGTGATATAAACAGTTTACGAACAATAATTTACAAAAAACCAAATAAAACCTTAGTACCTTTCTTTTAATCACTCGCAATGCGATTGATTAAAAGAAAGGTGCTAAGGTTTTACTTGGTTTTACTTTCTTTTACTTGGTTTTTTTGTTCGTAAACTGTTTGTATCACTATATATTTTAACATGATGAGGTTATCTGGTGATATTAAACACTTCAAGTGCTCTTTGAGCTTGTATGATATCTCTACGATGTATTGATGTATAACATGTGCTAGTATTATAGTCGTGTTGGTGTCCCATGCACAATTTTTTTTCTAATCTTTAAGACACTGAGGAGGGGTTGGGATGTACTGCACCAATCTGAAATGCATTTGTCAATTTTGAGAATAAAATTGTAGTTCCTAACTGAAAATTTGCTGTGAGTCTGTCTACAATTTGTTGGATTACAGAGACATATTACATAGAGATCTAATATACAGCAATCCAGTTATATAATGATGATTTCATATTTTATTGTGTTTCATGTACATCTAAAATAAAATGGTAATAATTTGAAAATGATTGATCTACACATATTTGACAGCAGTTTCTAAACCTATAAGGTTTAGAGGTATTTTTTTGGAGATTTAAAATTAATAGTTACTCGGGCTGGCATTTATGGGGGATGGTCAGATAGTGATTTTTTGTCATACTGAGTAAGTTCCCTACTATGCTTCAAACAGAGTTGTTAGCTATTATTTGGTGTGTTTGCACTATTTTACATAAAGGTTCTCATAATAAGGCTATCTAAATTGCTTCTGACAGTTAAGTTACATTAAAGGCACTTGATATGTGAGGAATTGAGTCTAAACATTATTTTATTTTCTTGGTTGTTACATTTTTGAAGTTTTTCTTATTTTGAGGAATTTGTTTTGTAAAAGGACAAAAACCCACAATCTTCCATTCAAAGTTAATCTCCATTAAAAATTGATTTGTTGTATCACTTAACACATTAGTGTTAATTAAACTTTGATAATAGAAACTTGCTAATCATAAACTAACTATTGTAGTTTTTTGTGAAAGTTAAATTTAGTTGTTAATAAGTTCCATTTTATTAGTTTTTGGATTTTTAACTATCTAATAAATTAGATATAAGGTCAGGATTGGTGATCTGATGGATTTTTTTTCAGGTTGCTTAGCCACTTGTTTGGGAGTGATGTTTATTTGTTAATAAAATATAAAACAATGAGATCGGTAAAATTTCTAAAAATATAATTTTTAAAAATAAAAGACGAGTAAATTAAGACACTCTTTCAAAAACCGACTTCGAGCAATTTGCATTAGCAGACAAACAGTAAATCAACAAAGATACATTACTTTAACCAGGGTTAATTCTTTTATTTTCGTAAATTTCAAATTGTTTTCCAAATGCATTTCGCCTTTACAGCCTCATCAGTGGATAATCAAACAACTAGACACCTGTTTCCTTTTTTATACAAAGGAACTTTTCCCAGCATGCATCAACGTTTAGACCGACATTCTGATTTAGTAAATTTGCATATTCTATTATACATAAATGTTCTACCACACGTCTTTTAAACAAATTTTCCATTTTATACAATATTTTTATCGAACTTCTATTAATTTTACAGTTATAAGTAACACAATGTTGATACCATGGTGACTCTTGTCTTTTTAAACGAATCGCCGCCTCATGTTCTTTTAGGCGTATCTCGAGTTTCCGTCCTGTTTCTCCAACATATGATTTCGCTTGTAAGCAATCACATGATATCATGTGATTGCTTACAAGCGAAATCATATGTTGGAGAAACAGGACGGAAACTCGAGATACGCCTAAAAGAACATGAGGCGGCGATTCGTTTAAAAAGACAAGAGTCACCATGGTATCAACATTGTGTTACTTATAACTGTAAAATTAATAGAAGTTCGATAAAAATATTGTATAAAATGGAAAATTTGTTTAAAAGACGTGTGGTAGAACATTTATGTATAATAGAATATGCAAATTTACTAAATCAGAATGTCGGTCTAAACGTTGATGCATGCTGGGAAAAGTTCCTTTGTATAAAAAAGGAAACAGGTGTCTAGTTGTTTGATTATCCACTGATGAGGCTGTAAAGGCGAAATGCATTTGGAAAACAATTTGAAATTTACGAAAATAAAAGAATTAACCCTGGTTAAAGTAATGTATCTTTGTTGATTTACTGTTTGTCTGCTAATGCAAATTGCTCGAAGTCGGTTTTTGAAAGAGTGTCTTAATTTACTCGTCTTTTATTTTTAAAAATTATATTTTTAGTGATGTTTATATTTCACAGAATAGTTTTTCTCTTGTGGGTGCCAGGACATCACTGGTAATATTATAAGTACTGAGCTACTGGCCAAGCAGAGTTCATGCCCCTTTGTAAAGCCTGAAACAACTCTTAGTATTTCTTCTAATACTTTTTATAGAGCTGTTAAAAACTGGATAATTTCCAACCATTTTAAGCAGTGGAGATTCAGATTTAAATCAGAATAAGACATTTTTGCCTAGCTTGTTTTCTGGGCAAACTAAGGATTTCTTAGCCTCTAATGGGAATCATTCAGTTCTTGGTTGGTTTTGGTCACTTATAAGCATTTGTGCCAACTGAAACTTTTCTTCAACTTTTATGAATTTGCTGAGGATACTTTGCTGCATCTTATTTGGGACTGTGTGCATACAGGCTGTGTGGGTTCTCCTTTTCTGTTTTTTGGATTCTATTTTCTCTTTCTGACATGTCTCAGCTTTCCTTTAGAGATCATTCTTTAAAGAGATAAGACTTCTGAAGTGATGTTTTTCATGGGGTACACAATGGATCTTTTAGGTCAGAGTGCATTTAACTTGAAATCCCCCACTTGCACAATAATAATAATAATAAACTCAAATAAACTCTCAAAACTCAAACTTAACTGTACTTACACATGCTGATGACATAAAATTAATCATTAATAATCCTATAATGCTTCAGAGTAACTTGATTTGTCTAGCTCAGTGTTTCTCAACCTCTAACGAATTGTCGCCCCCTTCAATGTAGTATCGCCCCCTTCACTTCAAAATTCTGATGTTGAGGGCCAAGGCTAACGCCAAATTCGTACTGCATTGAATAGACTATTGACTAGTATAATGTTATTTGTTTAATTATTGTACGATATAACGAATAAAATATCTAATTATTCTTAATATAATGTTTTACTATCGCCCAGAAAATTGTTTTTGCCCCCCAAAATATAAATTGTTACAAATTGCCCCCTCAACGTGGAAAAATGCCCACATGGGGGCGATATCACCCCTGTTGAGAAACACTGGTCTAGCTTTCTTTTTTCAACCATAATTTAATAGATTTGTTTAGATCAATTCTTATCATGTGTTTTTCCTTATTCTGCTAATTCTCAATATTAAACATTATTTTTAGGTAACAGTTTTATACCTTATATTAATTTGGTAAATGATCTTGGATTTTATTTGATAGCAAACTATATAAATATCGAACAGAAAAATAATAAAATAGTTATCTGAAATACAATATAGTGTAGATTGTGATGATCATGTTGTAAAAAAAATTTTTGCAATCAGAGTTTTAGGATAAAATTCTGACCAGTAGATGGAGGAAAATGATAAGTCAAGGAACGGTTTACGCACGTTTAATTTCCATAGTTTAAATAGCATTTGTTGAAAACATAAACTGATATTGATGGATGACTATTATATTTCATGAAATTTAAGATAATGAATTTTTTAGACAATTTGGATATTGCATTATATGTATATTAATAATTCATTACAAATAGATATACTGTAGTATGAAGCTATAAAATAAATCTATATTATTTTAGAAAGTTTAATAAAAAAATTTTTGTCATATAATAAGGAATAGTCAATATTTAATTTTTTTAAACATAAAATACTGGCACACACAAACTGGAACAATGTACTATATAAACAATTTGACACCTAAACTCTAATTCCAGCAATAAAATGAACAAATAAACTTTAATGCTCAAATGTTTTCAGCCCTCTTTCATCTATATTTGATGGTTAGAAATTTTCAAAAGATAGAACTTTTTTTTTTTTTCATATATTCCTGATGAGGGCCTCTGAAAGATGGCTGAAAACGTTCGAGCATTAAAGTTTATTTGTTCATTTTATTGCTGGAATTAGAGTTTAGATGTCAAATTGTTTGTTTAATTTTTTTTATCAGTAATCCATAGGTAGATTATATTGAAAACATTTATGATCTTTTAAACCAGGAATCTCAAATTCAAATTCAGCAAAGGATCAGTCAAATAGATATATATCAGACATGGGACATATTCATTATTATTCAGTAAACCAAAACATCCCTATAAACTAAAAAGAAAAGACTCTAACAAAGGTCCTTTTGTTGCCAGGCCTTTATGACTGGCCTAAACTGGCCCAGTTAGAAGTTTGATGTTTTTCTTTTATTCTTGCAAGATGTTAGAAACATTGGTTTTTTAGAAAAGAAATTATCAAGGCCACAGGCTGGATATGAAGCCTTAACAGGCCTTATCCAGTTTGTAACACCTCTACAAAATTTTGAAGTTTCAAAATATTTAGAATTTAAACATTAGTTTTAACATGCTTTATAGTAACTATCAAATTATTTTATTTTAATAAATTTAACAGAATAATATTGAAATTTATTCATTTAGTCATAATTTTAACTTCAAAATTAACCTATCTGTTATAAAAATTAAAACATTTTAAATATTCTTAATTTAGATCAAAGAAAGTCAAATAAGAAGTCAGCTTTTAGCAAATAATGGAAAAGATCAACTTTCAAAATCAAAAGAATGTGTTACAAAAAGCAGACAAAAATTAGAAGAAGTAAAAACAGACATTTTTGCAATTCGTAATGATATAAGGACAGCACGTCGTCTTTTTCAAGAAGTTGAATATGGACTTCGAGATTGCAAATGGGAAGAAAATAAAAAGAAAAATGCCAGAAATAGTTGTGTGTGTCCTGTGACAACTCTTCTTATTACAAATCCCTATGAGAAAATGTATCGAGAGCATCGTGTTTTTTTGGAAGAAATGAAATATCATTTTCGATGGCAGCATGGAATTGAAATTTTGTAGTTTATGAAAGAGTGATATTTTTTGTGTCATTTACCTTAATTCTGTTATTTGAATAGATTTCTTAGAAATTATTCATAGTAAATAATGTTAGATGTTTCATCTTTTAATATCATATTTAGATAGATATATAATACAAAGTATTAAGTAAATTTTCATATATATGTATAAATTTTCATATTCATTTAAACAAAGTACAAATCAACATCAATTGAAGTAATAATTATATATAATTAATGTGTAGATAATATAATTTTCTTCCAGGTTTATATATTGATATCTTAGAGATGTAAAATATTTAAGATTTGATTTTATTTAGAATGCTATTCATAGTATTTTAAACTTATTTATGATATTTTGTAATCAAGATAAATATTTATTTATTTTACATAGTGATCTTATATAATTTTATTTTTAAAATACACATTTCATATGGAATCATTTACTGATTTCAATTTTTGAATAAGTTATAAAGAGTATTTTATATAAGGATTTCAATTATCAGAACAAATACAATTGATGCTAAAATTTTTAAGTTTGTTAGAATTTATTTTAATTGGATAATTTACAGAGGATTAATATTAGATTTTTAGCATGTTTATACATTCCATCATTATTATACATTCTTAAGAGTGGAAAAGCTGAAGTTTTGACATTCGTATTTTAATATTCTATTTCTTTGTTTCTCTTGCTTTTTCCTCATAATAAACAAATATTTTTATTTAATTTATTTCTATTTGATGTTGAATTAGTAAGTTCATAATGATTATTTGCTTTTCATATATATTTAAAATGAATTGTCTGATGTAATATATAAAATAAGAATAATAATAATTTTCATTTCATTTCGATTTCTAGTAAATTAAGAAAATTATTTTGTCTCATGCAAAGAAACTAATAATAATCATTGGATATAGCTTCACTTGTTTAAATAAAAACATGTTCAGAAGAAAATATGTATGCTTAAAATTTGTTATTTATAGGTTTAAATCACAAACCAATAAAGAAATCAGATGTGAAGAAAATAAATCTTAGCATGCAAAACTTATTATTGAGATCCTAGTGTGTATTTTTAAAATTAGAACTGATTTTAAGATGATGTGCTGAATTTTTATTTGAAATCATTGTTCATTATGATTTGATTCTTATGTCATTATCCTAAAATTCAATTCTTTCATACTTTTTTAATATGATCAATCATTAATAAGTAATATAAAAATTGAGAATATGAAGTGATCATCAAACCCTAGAAAAATTTGAAAATTGTTAATATTGAATTAAAGAAATGAACTCTTTGATGATAATTTGTTTTCAAAAATATTTATGCTTTTATTTAATTTCTTAGTATCTATTATATATCAAGTGAAATAAAGCAATAGTTATTAAAAACTCATTTACATTCAAAATGATGATGGTCTTGAATGATTTTCATTATATTTGTAATTTCTATAAGTCTTCCCACAAAAACTGTATTTGTGATAAATTTTAATATATATTCAATATATGTAGTACTAGGTATTAAAATAATAATAATATAGTATAAATTAGAAATACAAGTTTCAAATTTTAGCTTTCTCTAAAATCTTTGATAACTTTATATGGGAATTCATATAAGGAATAATTATTCTGATAAATGATCAATTCTGTTTAAGGATTTTTTTTATTTAATAATGAATTGACAATAATAATTTATTTTTAATATAAATTAGTGACTGTTCAAAATTAAAGAATTATGCAGTAATAATAATAATATATTTATTAACATTTTAAATTATATATTTGAAGGAGAAAAACTTTGAAAGATAAAACAAATTATTATTATTATTATAATAGCTTTATTCATCAATAGAATTTCTATAAATTAGATTTTCTTTGTGTTATATTTTTTAATGTGATATTTAATATCAATTCAAGTTTTAGATTAGTGCCAAACTTTGTTCTTTAAATATTTATTAAGGAATTTTAAAATATATATTAATATTAAACTAAAAAGAAAAGAATTATTTCATAACATTACATTGGAAAATTTTTTCCTATATTAGAATTTTGAAGTTCTAATTCAAATTTACAAAGCTGTAATACAATACAGAAATTAAATATATTATATATCTATTTATTTTATAAACTATATTATACTAGCAACATGGAAAAAGTTTTTTAAGTTAGATTTTGAATATATGTAATTTCCTTTAATCTTTTACATTCCATATAGAATTATTGAATTTTTGATTACTTGATTCAAAAATCTTTATTGACTTAAGTATTGTGTTTTGTAATTTACAGCTAATTAAATGATTGGATTCAACTTACATCTGTTTAACTGTAAATTGTTCATATGAATATGAATCTTTGAATATGAATATATTCAAAGATTCATATTAATCATATTTTCATTTTTTATTACTTAAAAAATTTGCATTGATGCTTGAACATTGTTTTTAAATGAAAATATTTAACTTAAATACATAACACTTAGCAATGATTATATAATTACAGTATTTCAGATTTTTAATTACTTTCAACTATTTATGATGTGACTTTAATTAATATCTTATAAAATTTATGAAACTTTTGCTTTAGTTGAAGATTTAAATTGATTTCAAAAGCTTTTATATAGTTTTGTTAAGGATAATTATATATTTAAGTCTGTATGTGTAATTTAAGTGAAAATGGTTAGAGAATTGCTTTGCTTTCTTTTCAAAATATTTTAAATAAACGAATTAAATTTATTTATACATAAAATTGATTAAATATTGCTTTGTAATATTTTGAGGATAACAGTTTCATTGAATAGTGAGTAATTTAATTCAATAAGTAACTTTTAAATAAATTTTTAGTAAAAATGTTATGTTAAGAAGATACATTTATTTCAAATTAATTTATTTCTAGTTTAAATTAGCAATTTTCTGATCCAATTGCAAAAATATTGAACAAGTAAAGAATTTTACAACAGCATATTAAAATATATATACAGTACACACAGTATGGTCATAATTAAATGATTTCTTCTGAGCTTTCTGAAACTCTATCAAATAAATCAGGATGTCACTAAATTTGGTTTTTCCATACCATATTTAAGGTATGGAAAAAGGATTTCAGGATTTCACAAAAATTTAATTCCTAAATCTACTGATAGGCACTGTTGTACAAAATGAAATATATTACAAGATGTATACAAACAAATAAAGATAGACCTGAAAATAAAAATTAAGTTTTATATGTTACACATTTAACATATTTGGAGAAGTGATATTTTGTAATGCTATGCATTGTCTTATAAGGCTGACAAGTTAGAAACATTTATGATAAATGCTATATTCAAATGTTGAATACACTATACTGAATGAAATTTCTGGCCTAAAAAATGGTGACCACATCAAATAATATCAACATGATTACAAGTGAAATTAATTGTTTTTTGAAATGAGGAAATGTTTTTCTTTACAAAAGTAATTATACAGTATAATACAGCAATGACACGTCAGTTGAAATAAGTGCAACACACAAAATTAGCATTAACTTTCAAATGTGATTTTGTTGTTTGTCTATTCACACTGTAATTACTGGCAGATTTTATAACAAATTTTTATTGAATCCTTTCTCTATGTCTTGAATAGTATATTTATCAAATTTGTTGACATTTCAGTTGTTCAGTAAAACACCACAAACAGAAGATATTTAATTATGACTACTCTGAATANGAATATGAATCTTTGAATATGAATATATTCAAAGATTCATATTAATCATATTTTCATTTTTTATTACTTAAAAAATTTGCATTGATGCTTGAACATTGTTTTTAAATGAAAATATTTAACTTAAATACATAACACTTAGCAATGATTATATAATTACAGTATTTCAGATTTTTAATTACTTTCAACTATTTATGATGTGACTTTAATTAATATCTTATAAAATTTATGAAACTTTTGCTTTAGTTGAAGATTTAAATTGATTTCAAAAGCTTTTATATAGTTTTGTTAAGGATAATTATATATTTAAGTCTGTATGTGTAATTTAAGTGAAAATGGTTAGAGAATTGCTTTGCTTTCTTTTCAAAATATTTTAAATAAACGAATTAAATTTATTTATACATAAAATTGATTAAATATTGCTTTGTAATATTTTGAGGATAACAGTTTCATTGAATAGTGAGTAATTTAATTCAATAAGTAACTTTTAAATAAATTTTTAGTAAAAATGTTATGTTAAGAAGATACATTTATTTCAAATTAATTTATTTCTAGTTTAAATTAGCAATTTTCTGATCCAATTGCAAAAATATTGAACAAGTAAAGAATTTTACAACAGCATATTAAAATATATATACAGTACACACAGTATGGTCATAATTAAATGATTTCTTCTGAGCTTTCTGAAACTCTATCAAATAAATCAGGATGTCACTAAATTTGGTTTTTCCATACCATATTTAAGGTATGGAAAAAGGATTTCAGGATTTCACAAAAATTTAATTCCTAAATCTACTGATAGGCACTGTTGTACAAAATGAAATATATTACAAGATGTATACAAACAAATAAAGATAGACCTGAAAATAAAAATTAAGTTTTATATGTTACACATTTAACATATTTGGAGAAGTGATATTTTGTAATGCTATGCATTGTCTTATAAGGCTGACAAGTTAGAAACATTTATGATAAATGCTATATTTAAATGTTGAATACACTATACTGAATGACATTTCTGGCCTAAAAAATGGTGACCACATCAAATAATATCAACATGATTACAAGTGAAATTAATTGTTTTTTGAAATGAGGAAATGTTTTTCTTTACAAAAGTAATTATACAGTATAATACAGCAATGACACGTCAGTTGAAATAAGTGCAACACACAAAATTAGCATTAACTTTCAAATGTGATTTTGTTGTTTGTCTATTCACACTGTAATTACTGGCAGATTTTATAACAAATTTTTATTGAATCCTTTCTCTATGTCTTGAATAGTATATTTATAAAATTTGTTGACATTTCAGTTGTTCAGTAAAACACCACAAACAGAAGATATTTAATTATGACTACTCTGAATATAACTTATGTTTAATTAACTAAATATTAAAAATATATAGTTAAGAAAGTCAGCTTAAAAATCTTCAATGAGAAGAAATAATGATTTTATTATGAATTTCAGAACAATAAACAAAGATTTCAATCTTTGTTTATTCAATCTTTTCAGCTTTCAAAGAGCTGAAAAGATTGTTTACT